TACGTAGTATGTGAATTTTTTTATGACCTACCCGAAGATAGTTATGAAATTTTCATTAACATATTTGTAACATGTAGAGAAATTATTTCAATATATGAAATGTTAAAATTTGAAGGTCGACACGATGCTTGCGCCAGAATTAACACTTTTGATATTTTATTTAATTATCAACTCATACAAACCAGTTTTAAATAACGTAAGAGATGTATTTTCTCTTAAAAATATTCAATGTCTACTTTGTTATGATTTTTTGTGATAAATTTTGAATGTTTGTATACACACAATAAATTGCATCAAATAATAAAAATAATTAGTGAACATTTTGAAAAAAAAAATGAACTAAGCTATTTGTATGTATTTCCAAATTAATAAATTATTATAGAGCATGTTACATTATATTTGGAAGCGATTTTCTAGCATTCTAGCATTATCCAAACGTTTTGTCACATGAATGCATACGTCACAAATAATATTATTTTAATTGTTCAATTTTTTAATTAATATCTTTGACAAGCATGACATTTTTCAATTCTGTCTGTTGCAACCACAAATACCAATTAATGATATTTATAGTGTTAAATTATAGAATTTTGTTTATTATTTCCTGGACATATATTGCAATTTGGCAAAATTGCAAAAAAATAATAAATACAAATGGTTTTAACTCTACATAAAGAAAGACGATGAATTTCCACGAATAATATTTGTTTATTGATATTTTCTCGTTACTTTAATAAAAGACTAAATTTTAAATGTATTTCGTAATGACTGCATAATTGCATGATTTCTAAAAAGAATTGATTTAAAAAAATGTAAAAGTGAATAAATAAATTTATAGAAGAATACATATCTACACGAATATTTAGCACATATTATCAATATTCTAAAATAGTTACTCTGTACTCTGTCGGTTATTAAGTAATAAAAACAAATAAAATAAATATGTCAGATTACTCTTACCTACAGTTAGTAAAAAACACAAAATTTAAATAATTAATTTCTGACAAATTAACAGCATCTGTTAATTTTGTTTCTCTACGTTTCTTATAATTCTGAACCGTTGGAAACGGGATCTAAAACTTGACTAATCGTAATCGTTTCTCGTAAACACTGAACTCAATGTGAATTCACATTTATTTGTTTTGAAGTTGAAAATTTGAAATTTTGCTCAAAATCAATTCTTATTAAGTCGATTGTTATTGTCATATTTCCAATACGTGGTAGTATTGTATTGGACATTTTGTCTTAGGCAAAAAATGTCACATATTTTTTTTTATTTATAATAAATAACATTATCTAATGAATGCAACATCTGTTATTTATATTGATATTCACTTCGATGCTTTATACAATTTGTTTAAAAAATCCATATAAAGCCTCGATGATTGAGACTTCACACCGATGAAATACATTTATATGTCATATACACGTTAGAGACCGGAACAGTATATGTTGTTTCCGATGGGAAGTGTTTGGATTGCGCAAGTGTAAGTGCGTTCAAAGAGCATTAAATTTGAATTACTTTCCGGCGGCACATATTATTCTTCCGGCAGCAGACTCAGGCAGCCGTGACAGGTAGGCGCAGCAACGTTAGAGGCGGCGGCGTTTAACTACCGCGTTCGAGAACAGATTTTACATCTTAATGCTTTTAAATATGAGGATAGAAAGCGAAGAGGGAAATTATTATTTACCTCGTATGATATACGGATATTGCGATATGATCGATTTTGCCTTTTTTTCTGTTAAACCTACGCAATCCGTAAATCACGGATAAATTATTCATCTAGTCGATGGATGTTATATTTTGTCCTTTTATGTGAAGCGGGGAATGATTTTTTTGCTTTTGTGGGAGTAAAAGATTTTTGATTGCTTATAATGGTAGTTAAATTTGTACACGCTTGATTTGTTGAAAAATGTACATGCAATATTACTTGTTCATATACTTAGGAGACGAGACTTTTGAAATTCAAGAAAAGTACGTAGTACGTAGTTTATTTATTTCAATGAAAACTCGTTTTGCCCTAAGGCAAGTTGCATGAACTTTCCGATACGTCTACATAATTACTTTAATCAATAAGAATTGAGATTCAGTGATTTAGGTAACATTTAGAACCATTTATTTCAAAAATGAAATATTTGCTTTGACTAAAAATTGGGCTCGCCCGTAGGTAAGTGGTTAAGAGCGACGGAACTTGTTTCAGAGGTCCCGGGTTCGAAACCCACTTTGAGCAGCCTGTTGTCAGGCAGCAATGACAACGATTTTCACTTGGAAATATAAATAGCAATATGTTTCTAAGTGAAAATAGCCCTTGTCCGGCATTGCTGCACCAATAAAAAGTCAGCCCTATTAGATTAATTCTAATAACAAAAATCATCAAATATGGATAGATCAACCATTGGGTTTCCATCTAAAAATACGAAGTAAGGAGAAGTTTCAGCCCAACAGCCCATAGGACGTAAGGTTCTGATAGCTGTTAAAAATATAAAAAAAAACTAAAAATTAATCAATACGATGTCTGACAAATATACTTTACGTTGCATAAATTAAATTAATTATTTTAACGCTTTTCATTTTATCCATTTTCAGTTATAAAAATGTATTGTAAGTGTCAACGTATTGTTGATACTACACAACTACAAATCCTATCTTTCAAAATCGATACGCATTAATTTATATACTTTTAATTTAGCAAGAACCTAAGAAAAAAGTGAATTTACAAACTTAAATTTCAATCATACTTTCGCTGTTGCTGTAAAATAAAACGAAAGTACTTTAACATGTAGTTTTTGCAAAAGTTATCAGAACATACATCTCATCTCATAATGCTGTTATATATCTAAACATGTAATTTAAGTGAACTGTAAAAGTGATTGTAATAATTAGGAGGAACAAGTGGTTTTGCAGAATCAAACAAGAACTTTCTAGAATTAACATCAAGCATTCGATCATTCATGTAGAAATTAATTTATGTAATTGTTTATTTTTGCATTGCATTTATTTTTGCTAATGGTATTTATTTATTATAGTTTTTTTATGCGTAATTGATAGGCATATCTCATTATATAATAATTTGATGAATAATTTCATGCCACAACGGTTATATTTTAAATAAAAAATTTATGTTAATTATGATATAGTTCATACATTTTTTAATAAATATTTATTTCCAATTATTTTCAATGCAAGCACTATATATTTAATATAGACCTTTGTGTTTGTTTCTATTATAGTAAACCCATGTCATGTAATAAAATGGAAAGTATCTCTATTATAAACAAAAGTAAATATTCGTTTATTAATAAGAATTAAAGTAATTTGATAAAAACATCCAGATTAAATTAGAGTTGTTCATCGATAATTTCTACAGCCTCCATATATATTACTACTATAAAGGTGATGACTATTATTTTGTCATGAATTAAAAAGTATTTTCCTGAAGGGTCCTCAAATATGATTAATGAATGAGATCGTTGGCGTTGTTTGTCAGTGACTTTACAGAAAATCTATAATGACTGCGAAAACTTCTGAAAACAAAGTTGACATTATGCTCAAAGAGTTCTTTCGCCTTTTTGAGTTGCTTGTTTTATAAAAGAAAGAAGCACGTGATTGATGCATCTCGTTAGAAAAAATAGCTTACTCAGAAATCGTTTTATTGTTTCGAGGAAACTGAAAACTTATGAAAATAATAAATTCCGAAAAATTAAGAAAATATTATAGGTACTATTAAAAAATTTAAAAAAATATATATAAACCTATGGAAAATCATTGTCCTTAAAATAGACCATTTATTTTCATGAATTTATAATGTATATTATTTCTTTACTGTGAGGTGAAATATATAACTATGGTTCTCAAAAAAAAAAATATGCCTATTTTTGTGGCTATATTTTAGTATTTGAATCATGATTAAGGGGCACAACTAGTGTGAATTTTCAAAAAATCGAATTTTCAATTTTCCATATTTCGACAGGTTATACCTTTAAAAATAACATACCAAAATTTTAAATCGATATCTTAAATAGTTTTTGAGTTACAGCCTATATATGGTATGTATTATAACGATCATTTAATCTTTAATCGCGTTTTTCTCGAAACAGCATTTTCCGAATTTGCTGCAAGCATTACTCAAAAACAAATGATCCGATCACTATCAAATTTTTTTTACGTTTCTATATAGTTCTGCGTAAAATGAACTATCGATTTTTTGATCGGATCAAAATCGAATTTCGGCAGTCCAAAACGACCAAAATTTTGAGTAAAATCGACTTTTTTTAAAAAAACGCGTCCGTCATTTGGTCAAGTTTTTTTCTTTATCGTGGTTTATTTTACAGACAATATCATCTAGTTTAACGAGATTTTTTTTTAATTTCATCCACGTAGAAGACCGGAATCACTGCTGCAGTGAAGGGTCTTTTTTTGTCGCTCCGTTGGAGATCGACGATAACTTAAAAATATTCAATTTTTTTCTCTTCAAAATTTTTACTATGTATTCTTAAAACATGTTTAAATATATTCCTAAAATTTAAAATGATTCATAAAGTAGTTTTTTAATATAAATTCCCAAAATTCACCTTTTTTTAGGCGGATACACTAGTTGTGCCCCATGTAGATATCATAAAAAGCATGGACGTGTTTCCCAAAATTTTAGTTTTTTATCCTTATTAGTATGCAGAATTTGATTAAAATCCTGTTTTTTTTATATTTTCGTACCTATCTATTATTAACTTCTCGTAGGGTAAGTTCTATAACTTACTTCTATAATTGTCTATAATTGTCCAAAATCGAGGAATGAAATTATTTGTATATCTTTACGTTTCAAAGGTTCTGAACATCTTGGCATACCTTAAAAAAATTGATAATTACTTTTATTTTGCAAATTTGCGCCACTAGTATATATTTTATTTGAATAAAGTTCTCATTATTATAGATATATAAATAAGCCATAAATCGTTCAATCACTTAATCACTCATTCTAATTTAACTATTTTCTCCCCCACAGCCGAATACATCAAACAGTGTCGAGAGTCGGACCCGGCGTTATTGGATTGTCTGAAGGATTCGCTGCATCACCTGAGACCGTACCTGGCCGCAGGAATCCCCGAGATTGAGATGCCGCCGGTCGAGCCCTTCCGCATGGACAAGCTGTCGCTCGCGCTCACCGGCGGACATTGATTGAGTTTTTGAAACTAGGCAAGAAAACTTTGCCTTTAGGCCGAAAAAAACAGACTTTTTTTAAATTGCCATTTGGCAAAATCGAAATTCAGATATTTTGTAATTTGATATAACCGATAAAAATGGTATCATTTTTTTTTTTAAAAAAATCTGTATTTGCAAAAAGGCAATTGTCATGCATGTCATATCAAACTTTGGTAAATTTTCAGAATTTCAACATAAAAGGCCGTATTTTATTTAGTATGATTAGTATGACCATGTTCTATAATCATAAAAAAATTATAAAATTCGTAATTTTTTTTTCAACTATTAATTACAAGGTCAATCTTGACGAAAACTATACAGCACAATTCCCAAGTCAATATCTTTCGAACAGTTTTTGATATTTTAAATCGATTCAGGATTGATTGGTAAAACGTGGACGAATATGCTAATTAAAAATTAAATGATTTAGTCAATTTTCTCAGTTTTAAATATTTATATTTCTTATTAACTTTTCGTGGGTAAGTTATAGTAATTGCAAAAAATCGAAAATGAAAATTTTTGTATATCTTTACGTTTCAAAACCTTTGAACATTTTGGCATACCTTAGAAAAAATTGATGTATGTGTGTATGTGTATGTGTGTGTGTTCGATACAAATTTTCGTCGACGATTTCAAGAATACGGATAAAGCAATTTGAATATTTCAAAAAACATTCGATTCGTATTTATAGAAGACGTGCTGATTAGTTTTTGGCGAAGGCAGGTCTAGCCGTTCCGAAGATATGGGGCAAAATGTGCCAAAAACGGTAACTTAGTTTTTAAGAGAACGGAGCGTTCCGATTTGTATAATTAAAAAAAAATTTACTTATATTAACAAGATGAAAAACTGATCAAATTTTTATAAAGGCAGGTCTAGCGGTTTCGGAGATCTAGTAAAAAAAATGCCATTTGGCGGTCAAAAATTAAAATTAGACATATGCACATCAAATTATCAGTTTTTTATAGACATTTTTATAATAAGTATAATTTTTGTTAACATTCCTATGGGTTCCGTACCAATACCTTCGATAGTTCAAATCTATGCAGTTAGAGCAGTACGATTGCTTTGAAAAAAAGTTCAGAATTAGTAAATTTTTGTCAAAAATTTATAGTTTTTCAAAAATCTAATTTATCAGAGTAATTTTTTTTCAAAAATGTTAATATTTAAAAAAAAAATGTACAGGAAGTTCCAGCAATTTGCCTTAAAGCACGATGCCACGCGCCTCACTAGTTTTTAAATGGATTCAGGATTGAGTGGTAAAACGTGGACGAAAATGTTCAATTAAACATTAAATTTTTCCAGTCAATTTTTTCGATTTTAAATATTTCTATTTCTCATATTTATTAAAATTCATTTATCAGTGACGATTTCCCAATCTGACCATTCCAAATTGACTGATAAATCGATGTCATCACGACGAAACAGATTACGCAGAGAATTATATTATTAATTTTCAATTTAAATAAATATGCATATATAATTGGATCATGTACTTGAATAAATTAATTTATTAAATTCTGTGGAATATTCGAAATGGGAGACAAAAGTATTAAATCATTTCTATGCTAATACGCGAATGTGCAAATATGCAATTAACACCGTTTCTGCTAAACTTGACGTTCTCTTATGCAACGATAGTTCAGCAATGGTAAATTTACATTTTCTATTGTTTAACTATATATATATATATATATATATATATATATATATGTATGTATACATCCACAAAAACGGTTATCTCGTACCTCGTCCATGATTTTTCTTACACAAAAATATTGCTATTCAATATTACTATTTATTATCAGTATCTATTGCCAATTCCATGTGATAATTTTTACCCTTCTTCAATTGAATATTTATTTTTTCCAACTTCAGTCCAAATTTTCAACTTCTTCATTTTCCATCAACCTCACTCGTCATTGGAAATCCTTTCTCGTACGAAAAATATTTGAGGAAAACTTTTTCATTCAGAAAGAACCATTCAATTTTTCACGATCTTTTTTGCATCCTATTTTGTGTGAGTTACAAAAGCATCCCATTATATAAATAAAGAATGAAAATAGAAGGTTTTGTTCTGTAGAAAGTTTTGTGAATAGAAAAACTCTTAAGTAAAATTTATTTATGGGTGCTGAATAGGATGACTTTGGTGGGGTAAAAATAATTATTGTCAATAAAACAAGAAAAGTTTAGTGGTTAAATGGCGATTTTATTGTTTTAAAAAGGTGTTTGGTAATTTGGAATCGATTAAGAAATTTGGAATCTTAATTAAAGCAGCCACCAGATTTATATCTTGTAATAGACAAAATTATTAAAATATTTTTTGTAATGTTTTATATAAAATTATACGTTTTTTATTTGAAAATATGTATTAGAGATACATCTTACATGTATCAAATAAAAAACGTAGATGTAAAAATTGCGTATCTCTATAAAATTCTTTACATATTTAACATCATTGTTATATGAAACATGATAATACAGAAATAACACATGCGGGTTTATGTGTGAATAAAAAATAGTATAAATTGTTGTGATATTGTGACATTGACACAAAAACTTGTTGAAATATTCATAAAATGAAAAAAATAAATATTGTATTAACTTCTTAGCGTCATACAAAAAAGGGGTGCAAGGTCATAATAAAGTTACGAAAAATAAGACTATAAAAACCTGAACTGAACACATTGTAATGTAGCAAATTTTCTTTAAAAAATTAACAAAGTAGTACGTGCATATGAAACCAAAAAAATACCTTTATAAAGCTGGCATTTCACAAAATTTTAAAATAATTTAAATATTTATCAGTAATTCCATTTTCTTGTTGGAACTATATTTACTTCTGCTAGTACCAATGAACTTCTTACATATATAAAATATATTTGCACGCAAAAAGCTCATCCAAAAGTAATAAAAGAAATTACTATTTGCATGTTAAGTTTTATAGAACTGCTTGAATTTATATTTCTGCATGATAATTGACCATTACAAATGTGTATGAGTAGATCATATAAAAATAGTTATCTTAAAATTATTTTTTTATTTTTTCTAAGGTTAAGTGAAAATGGAAAACCGTTCCAGGCCAGAGTTACCATGCCAAGATTAAGGATTGCATCAAAATATTTGAGCAGTGGAGTTTTGATCATTTTACCAGCTAGTGGAAATGGAACTTTCAGTGGAACATTTGGTAATAAATCTATTAGCAATAGTTATTTATTATTGAAAGATATTTTTTTAAATAAATTTATTAATAAATTTAATAAAATAAAATTGTTGGGCAATGGGCAACAATAATTTAATAAAATAAAAATGTTAGGCAACAATATTGCTAGTGGGAGTCAGAAATATGTTATAACAAAACAACATTGTTATATTTAATACAACATTTAAACACAGCTTATATAAATTAACAAAATATATTTATTTAAAAAAGTTTACAAGAAAGTTATGTAAAATCTTAATATTTTTGTATTGAATTTTCTTTTCGTTTCCTCTTTTGTAATTTGTCTTGGCCAAGAAATATTTCTTTATTTGTTTAATTTTCACGAAAATGACATAAAATATGTATCACAACCGTACCCAAAGCATACTTTGATGGAAACTTGTTCGGTCAAACATACTTCATCTTTCTCCCTTTTAGACCCTATCTCATAATCAGTAAAGTTTAGAGATTTATGACGACTATGATTATTAGAGTATCCTACCTACCCAAACCAGAATAATTATTAAAAAACACGAATATTTTTTTTTTACATATTCGCGCGGGCCAAGGATTTTCAGTAGCAAATGTATCGGACAAGATTTACATTTTAATGCAATGATACGAAATGATAAGGATTTTACTCCCGGTGGAAGAATATTATAAGATAAGACGATTATAATTGGATATACAAAGGTATAGGGCGCTAGAGAGCAATGAGAATATTTTACATTTTACATTTTACATTTTACCTTATTCCGTATACAGAATGAATAATAAGCAAAAGCAGAACGACGACGCCGAGAAAATTCTGGCACGCCGATATAATCATACTTAGAGATTTCCCAGCTGTCTGTCTTACTTAACTTTCTTAAGATTGTTGTTTATTGTATAAAAGCTGCCTTAGTGGGCTTAGTGGTAATTTGTCCCAGTCTGGATAAATGATTAATGGGGGAATCTGAAGAGATTTGCATATCCCGAGGTGTTTTAAATTCAGTCTGGTACAAAATGAGACAAATATGTTAAGAATTGATGTAATCATATATCATCTAATTTTCTGATCTTATATCTAATCTTATGTATACTTTATCATTTTAATAAAACAAAACTGTGGACGTGCTAATTTTATCCTATTGGGGATACGTGATCAATGGAGCCTACATTAAGGACTAACAACTAAAACCTCAAAATTTTCAAATTTCTTAGATGTTTTCAAAAATATCTATCTGGTGAAAACCGCAAATGATGTTATTCGTTTTAGCTTTTACTTAATTTTATTCCAAACCCTGGTCTGGCTATAATTTTTTACCACCTAATTGATAGGTAAATATTCCTGTAATAACAACTAAACGTCGAAATTTCCGGGATGTTTTCAAAAATATCTATCTATCGTAATACGACAAATTTGATTTTATTCAATTTTATTATTACTTAATTTCATTTCAAACCCTGGTATAGCTATAATATTTTACCTAATTGGCAGGTAAATATTTCTATAACATTATTTCCTCTACTAAAGAGATAATCTTACCATAAATATGTAACTTGTTATGATTGCAGAGTTTATTCAAGCAATGCAATTATAATTTAATATGAGAATAATATTTTTGCGATCCAAACACATTTCATTCGACTCTTGGAAAAATATGTTTTCAACAAATAGCACTTCACAGAAATAATAGTCTAACAAAGCATAGTTTCATAGAGATGTAAAATTTAATTTAATTGAAATTCAAATAATTGAATATATATATATATATATATATATATATATATACATACATATAAATATTTCAAGTAAATCTGAAAATAGAAGCAATGAATTTATAGACTATGACAATTTTGTTAAAGTCTTATTTTCATAAATTTACTTACTGTGCCAACTTACTAATTTTTACTACTTTGTATAGGTCTATGAAATTTTAAGCATTTTAAGCATTTCATATATAAACGATCTTTTTAATTAACTAAATCACGTTACATTGTATTATCACATTAGGTCTTGAAAAATAAAATGGCAAAGCAAGTAAACTTAGTAACAAGTAATTTTTTCATCTAATTTAAATTAACTTTTACAATTAAATCATTTTTCATAGCGTTATAAATATTTCATAGTGTTATAAATATTTCGGAGTTAGTTTACGGATTATAGAATACCACCACAAAAGAACATATATATATATTTTTAAATTTTGAATTGATTTTTGAAATTGGCCTACTTTTCATATACACGTCATGTTTTACCAATCCCAGAAAAATTATAATTGATTTTTTATGAAATTGAACCTTAATCCAATAATTTTTTAGAAGGCCTGCTATGCACCAAGCTGTGTTTTATCAAAATCCATATATTTTTTAAATTTTCTGAAATTTTACCATAACCTGATGATTTTTCATAAAGTCTGCCAAGCACCAAACTGGGTTTTATCAAAATCTATAAATAATTCTGTTTTGTTTTTTTATTTATTTTTTTTTTAAATTTTACCATATTCTTATAATTTTTAGAGGATCTGCCAAGCACCAAGCTGTGTTTTATCAAAATCCATGAATATTTCTGAATTTTTTACAATTTTTCGAAATTTCACAATAACTCTATAGTTTTTTAGAGGGTCTGCCAAGCACCAAGCTGTGCTTTGTAAAAAATCCCTAATATTTTAAAAACATTGTCATAATATTTGAAGTCCAAGATGTTTTGAAATAATTTTACTATAATAAGATTCCCAAAATTTTATGAAATTTTTAGGAAATTTTCTTTAGGAAATTTCTTGTTTAATTACATATGGATATGGCAGGGTAGTTTTATACCTGTATATTTCTATTAATATTCATTATCATTTTATCATTTCAGATGGTGTAACAGCCGATTTATCAGGTACAGTGTCAACATCAGAGAGAAACGGGCTCAAGTACTTGCATGTCGATTCGCTCCATTTGGACCTGAAGGTGCGCGACGTGCGAATGCAGGTGTCACGAGTGTTCAACAACAATCGAATTCTTAGTAAGTTTCCGACTTTGAAGACATACTATACTATTATTACATTTCTTAATGAATATGTCGTAATTCTACATACCAATGTCAGAGGGTAATGGTAATAGAAGCGTCTTATTTGTATGTGGAAATGGTATATGGCCAAAATTGTGACAGGAAGGTATAGAGACATTTTGGGTTGTTGTTAATCACTACTTTTTTCCAAAGTAATCATGATGATAGAAACCTATCATTTGTATGTGGAAACAGTGATAAACCAAAATTCTGGCAGGAGGTGTAGAGACATTTTGGATTGTTGGTAATCACTACTTTTTTCTTGAAGTTGTAGATATAAAAACCAATATTGATAGTTGAGTCAGTTAATTATTTTAATGTATATGTTCAATAAAATCAACTCACAGAATCATATTACCTAGTCCTGTTTGCTGTTAAAACATAAAAAATGATTCTTTTGTATCTAATGAATCTTCCTGGATAGAAAAAAGATGTTTGGATAGTATCGATCATTGTCATCATTAACTAGGCTAATCAGGCTAAGGTACCTGTTCAGCAAAATGTTTAGATTTGGTTACAAAATCTTTAAAAATATTTGGACTTTCAAGTAATGAAATTACTGATATAATTGTCTTTGATTTTATATAAAAACCTTATCTAAAATAATTAACTAAAGTCATGTTATGAAATAATCAATAATATAATAAGATCATAAATCACACTATAGATCTTTTTTGACGGAAAATTCTTCAATACATCTCATTTAAATCTAAAAGTGTAAATTGTTGCGAAAAATGACATAGAATTTCTGGGATATCATAAAAAATATATTTACGATATTAAAAATGTCATTATTTATTTCAGAAGATTTCAGAATCGTTTTTTTAAGATATTTAGTTTATTTTTTTTAATTTCATGATAAAAATTTATAAGTAGTGCAATATTAAGAAAATGGAACAAAATATCATAAAGAACAAATATACCTTAATGAAAATAATCACTAATTCAATTTAATATTCCAACTGTTTCAATATAAATTAAATATAGATTATTTTTCGAGAAAGATACATATTTTCGCATATTCTGCTTAGTTTAAAAATTTATTCGAAAATTGCTATTTTCTAACCTATATTCCAATTCCAAATTTTTACAAAAATTCAAATAGCAAAGATTTTTTGATGAGTTTACAGATATTGAAGGCCTTGAAAAATGAGAATTATCCAAAAACTTCATAATAAAGATATTTTTCTTTAAAATCTGTACCACATCATTTTTAAGTTAATTTTTCAAAATAATAATAAAAATAAGAAATATGCCAAAACTTAATAATAAACAATGATAATTTTCTCACTTATCTATTTTATGAATAAAATTTATTTCATTTACATTTTTAAGTTAATTCTATTTAATTTTTTAATTTTCAAGTTAATTTTTCAAAATAATAATGAAAATAAGAAATATGCCAAAACTTAATAATAACCAAGGATAATTTTCTCACTTGTCTATTTCATGAATAAATTTTATTTCATCCACATTTTTAAGTTAACTCAATTAATTTTGTGTTTTGATACTGAGATGCTGATACTAATTTTTAATTTTGAATGATTGATGAAAATATCAACGGATTTTTTCATTTTCAACATTATCGTAATTTATTAATATGATTTTTTTAGCCTCTTATTAAATTGATTCATAAACACATTAGTATATAAACCAAAAACTTAATTTTGTTTCTGAAAAAAAATTTTTTTGGCTTCTCTATAAATATTTCTACCTTTCGGTGAGTTCAAGAACTATAGATTATTGAAACGTTAAGAAGAAAATTAGAATAATTATATTAGGAAATTAATGAACACATCTCCATATTATTCTTTCAAGATATTTCTTGAACAATATTAATACAAATTTTAAGTTTTACTGTAAAATTTAAATCCAGATGTCTTAAAACATAGTTGTACCACCTGGCAATCACGTAAATTTAAACTTCGTGTAAATGTAATTAAGCCTGGGCGTTATCTTTAGGAAATTCTTGCAGTAAAAGTAACTTATAGGTATTTGCGAAAACGCAGAATTTCGCAAGCATTTTAATGCACTTTGCATATTCGTAGTCATTTAAACCATGAAAGGTCGCAAGATATTAGAATGTAGCAATTTGCAATTGCATGATAACTAAAATACAAATTACATCATAATTAATACTGTTTACAGAAAGTACACAAATTATGCACTTTAATTTAATTTATTTATTATTTCAAAATCGGGATCAAAACAAGCTATTGAGATAGGTAGAAAAACAGATTAGAATCTGATTTGATTCATGTGTACGAGTATTCATAATGAATACTAATTATGTGAAGTAAAAATGACATTTAATATAAAAACAAACAATAAAAAATAACTTTTTATATATTCAATAAGAGTCTTTATATTCAATAAAAATATAGATGACTGTGCATTTTGCGTTGAAACACTAGACATATAAAATAGAATTGCTTTATTATTTACTCATTTACATGTTTCGGCTCACGATTGATTCTATATGTAAAGTTTTTTTTAATGTGTGAAATCTAATTTTAATTCAAGTATTTTGATCTAATTTTATTTATTAAAATTTATCAAGACTAATAATAGTTTATTTTCATTTTAGCTGAAGCCACAAATTTATTCTTAAGAGAAAATGGACAAGAAGTTCTAGGAGCCATGAGTCCTCAATTAAGAAAAAAACTTTCTGCAGAATTTAGTCGTATTGCAAATCAATTATTGTTACATGTTCCTATTTCGAAATTTTTGTTACCTTAGATATTAAGACTTGAAAATATTGTTTTTTTTAATATTTTATTAGGGATAAGTGAACTTTTATAAGGTGTATGATACAAGAAAAGTTACCATAACTTAAGTAATATTGTAATTGAGCTAGACTCATGATGAAAATGGCAATTCATTTTATTTTCATATTTCAAATTGAATATGAAGACAGATAAAACAATTCTGATTGTATATTACAAATATAATGGCCATTCAAATCAATATTATTATGAATAGTATTACTTATAATAAGGTGTGAATGAAGAAAATTTATATTTAATTGAGAACTATTGTGATTCGTGTATTATATAAGTTATAAAATTGTATACCGAAAATTTGTACAAAATTAATGTAGAATAAAATAAGATTGTGGTTGAATTGAAAATAATCTGGATTTATTAATCGATTAGCCCCCCAAAAATAAATGATTTGCACTACCTAAAAAGTCATTACTATTAAGAAAGTAATTAATATAACAATTTATATATATACTTAAGTATATATATATATATATATATATATATATATATATATATATATATATATGTATGTATACTTATGTATATATATTAATAACGCCTGGAGATTTATTTACACTTTAAACCAGAATGTATAAAATAATTTCATTATTGTTACTGAAGTTCAGGCACGTATCAATTTATATTCTATTCTATTATTTTTAAATTGGAATAAATTCTATTTTATTATTTTTATATAATATCCCATATTCTGTATCTATTCCCATATCCTTATAATATTCTATAACCCAATTTTTTATTTTTTTTATTATTTTCTCAAAATTAAACCTTGTATCGAAAACATAGAATATTGTTCTTGTTGGACAACTCATCTTTCGACCAACCAACAACCAGACAAGGGTTTTTTTATCAATTTTGGTTTTTGTACAAATTAATCCAACATACGAATGGTAGTAATCATTCAAAATTAATTTAACACAATCTGATGTCAACATTTTTATCAATATTAGAAATAAATTAATTATAATAAATTTATTATAATTATAATAAATAAATAAAACAACACTTACCAAGCAATTGCACATCTGCAGGGTAAAATCTGAAAATAAAAACAAACAAATTAAAAAAAATGAAATGATGTTTTTCAAATGCTTTACAGGGTATTTTTTAACTATATAGTTGGATATAGATATATAAAAAGACATATTAATGAATTATATTTGAGAGTAATAATGAAAGCAATTTTTGTAGATGTATAATATTTTTGGATGTTTTATTAGAAACTACGAAATAATAAGGATTATTTACAAAATTTCTCAACATGTTACTGTTTATTAACTTTTAAAAATAATTTATTATTAGGAGTAGTAGTAGTATTGTTTTTACTCATCGTGAAATTATTTCAATAGCAAAATTTTTGATTTCATCAAGCTTAATACTCAAAGAAAATAAATTGAAACTGAAATTTTATTACTTTAAGAATCGTGTTATGGTAAATATAAAGCTTTTCCTTGAGCACTCCAAATTTTCTCAAATTGTTCAAATTGGCATGCAATAAAGAAAGCAAACAGTCAATATATTTATTATAGGGTTCTTTATTAAAATTTTATAGTTTTAAAATGGCTTTGTTTTATAAACTGTGTTATAAATTTTTCCAATATCTTCAATCACTGAAATTGACAAACATTGATGAATTGATTTATGGTACTCGTAGTCGGAAAATCTTAAAAGAAAATTGATACTGGTTGCCAAAACATATATGAAAATTTCATTCTCTATGGAAGTTTTTGAAGATTTTCGGGATTAAGTCATAAGAATTTGAATTATTATTGTTTGTTGATTCTAGTGGAGTATTGTTACATGATTTTAGATATGCCATTGTTAAAGTTATCAATCGATCTATGTCAATTATATTTTCATTTATTATTTAAAAACTATATATAATTTTAATATTTTATTTTTTTTTTCAATAAAAAAACATTTTCTTGCTTAGCCAAATTTAATTTTATCAAATATTATAATGTATTTAACTCATTTTTTATTCAAGACAAAACTAATATACCAATCGGTAAACTCTATTTTGGTCTTAATATTATATATTGTCATTCTTAATTACTATGTGCTTTTGTATTTTAAAAACACATTGTAATTGCATTTTAAAATTAAAAAAATAATTTCGTAGTAGATTCAAATGATTCATTTATTAAATTTTCATGATCAGCCTCATGGATGTAAATAAATGATTTATAACTGAAGCAAAATAAATATTCTTCAGTAGTCATATATTTGTAACAATGATAAATCATCCCAATATTCCCACAATTTAAAAAAATAACATTAAAAAAATAAACACAAAGCTTTATTATTCAAGGGGCATCACCATTGGCTTTTTCATATATATTTGCCTGCGTCAATATATAATAATGTATGCATATGGCATATTTGCTTTGCAGGCTCATGTTAATATTTATTATTGAATTGTGAGGTTTTGTGAGATGTTATTTTGAGTACCTTCTTTGTTGAGAACCAATTATAAATTCAATGCAGACATGCACTTTATGAAAACATTTTGAAGTTGTTATAATCGTTTTTTTGGGATCACAATGGAAAATGTAAATGAACTACAAATACTCCAAATGGTAAATAATATACTATAAAAATTATATATATATATATATATATATATATATAATACTAGCTGGCCCAGTAAATAATGCACATGAATAGTCACTGCAAGTCAGCCTAATCTGAAATTGATTTTATTTAAATTGATTTGGAACATTTGGAGATTTGATGTTTTATTATATTATATTCGTCCTTTTTTCTAATTCATGAATTTTTAAATTAGAATGCTGAACCCAAATATTATATTTTTAATTTTGAAATTTCAAAAAATAAGTGGTAAGATTTACAAGTTTGCCATAGGTTTGTATTGTACCCAGTCTCCTCAAAAGTACCCTTAGTACCAAATTTTGCAAGAAAATATTAGGGATGGTCAACCCTTGATGGAAATAAATTATTGTTTGAAGAAAAATTTAAGTTTTTCCATGAGTTCAAAAACATATGTATCAAAAAAATTTAATTAATAAAGTAAGTATTAGAAAATAGAGATTTTTGGTAGGAGGGTGAAAATGTAGAGCTGTATGTGTATTCTAGTTACAAATAATAAAAAATAACCAAAAAATTTAGGCAAAAAAATAAAGAAAATCTTGAGGGTGACCAACCCTTAGACGTATGGAAAATATACGTCCTAAAATTTTAAATCATACTTAATGTAACTATAAAATTAATGTATATATATAAAAAAGAAAATATATATATACATATATATAAATATATATATTTATATATATACACCATGTATATTGCATATTGTAATTTCTTTTATTTATATGTATAATTTTTGAATATTTCTATACCATATAATTATATATTATTCATTCATATGGACCACTTCATGGAACTTTTTGTAAGGCAAAATGCCACTTACGCCTAGTCGCTTATTCACAAAAAAATATTGAGTTACTAAATAACGTAATGACCATTCCAAGAAATACAAAAACATAAAAACTAATTACAATCACCAAAAAAGAATTCCATGAACTGGTAAAATTTCGTTTTCAGTTTTTATTCATTTAGCCGTGATTAAATTTCAAGTATAATGAAAGTCACGATCTTAATTGCAGTTGTAATTGTGTTTTATCGAACTCGTAGAAAGTGAATGAGTGAAATTCAAAGTGTCTGGTACACGATTCTCATATAGTTTTAATAATACATATATTTGTTTTTCACTACGTGTTCTTTTCTATCTTGATTATATCTTTTAACGGTGAGCGATTTCTTGCGGTGTAATTAACAAAATTATTAGGGAATTTTACATGGAAATAAGATAAGAAATAAGAACTACTTTTATAAAAATAAAAACATAACAAATTTGAAAAAAACAGAATCTTCAAAAACAAATAAGACGTTAAAAATTTGACTAATTCAAAATAAGGTTTAAAAAAAAAATCAAATAAAATGTACAGATGACGCATTTCACACTCACAATCAGATGTTTTTCTGATCACAATTTTTTTAATACCATTTGTTTTTTACCAGTGACTAGCCCAAATCCCCTTAACAAATAGAGGATAAACTCAGTATTGGCTACAGATGCAAATTTTCTCATATCGTATAGATCTTTTGTATTGACGTAGGAAGAAGAGGAGTTCCTTCACGTCTCAACATCAGAGTTGCAGTTGCATTGTGCGTCAGAAGCATTCGTGTTTTGAATCCTTAATGAACTGCATTTCATTTCGGGACACTCATCTCGATATATAATTTATACTTCGTCAATAAACTTTGAAACAGAGGTGACGACACCACAAAATTAAGATCGAGAGATCAAGATACCAAAATTGCTGTGACAATGAAGACAACTCACAAGCAAAAAAAAGTGAACCAAAAATACTAAAAAATCTTATAAAATTTTATTTTTGGATACGTCACTAAGATATTGACATTACGAAGCCGAAACTGATGTGAAATAAAAACAAGCCACATAAGGCAATTTTTAAATATTTTTCTTTATGCTTAGTTTTTGTAATAATCTCATTATTACAGCTAATAATAAACAATAATGTTTATTTTTTATTTATTACTTGAGTTGACGTCGGATCCTACATGGTGAGAGTACGAGTAAATAATGGCAGCTGTGAAATGGAATATAAAAACTACATATAAAGAGGCTTCTTTATATCACGTGACCATTTTTTTTTATAAATTTTTGGACCCTCCCTTCTCCTTGGTGTTACGTGGTGATATTTAAAATTAAGTACCCCGCCCCTCCCCCACCAAACATCAAGTGTACTTTTAGTTTTGAGAAAAAATAGTAAAATTTTGAATTTTTTATAAAATGTTTTGACTTTTTTAAAAAATTGACGTAAAAAATAAATGCACGTGATAACTTACTAGACCTAGACAACTCCATCCACAATGTGATATTTTGTGATTATTTGTCTACACCCTCCCCTTCTCTCCCTAAAATGTAATTATTGGACTCTAATAAACTATCGT